TTTTTTTTTTGTGGCATTGGGGTTTGAATTTAGCCTCATGCTTGCTAGGCAGGAGCTCTTACCACTTGAGTCACTCTGTCAGCCTTTTTTTTTTTGATGGGTTTTTTCAAGATAGGGTCTTGAGAACTATTTGCCCAGGACTGGCTTTGAGCCTTGATCCTCTTAATCTCTGCCTCAGTCAGGATTACAGGTGTGAGTCAGTGGCCCCTGGCCTTTAGTTATTTTTCTGATAGGGTCTTGCAATTTTTTCACTGGAGTCGGCCTTGAACTGCAATCCTCCTACCTATGCCCCCTGCATAGCTGATATTACAGGTACGAGCCACCACTCCTAGCTTGTTTGTTGCAAGGGGTTTTTGCTAACTTTTTCCCTGGGCTGACCTTGAACCATGATCCTCCCAATCTCTACCTCCTGAATAGCTGGGATTAGGTATGAGACACCATTCCTGGCCCACAAGTAGTAATTGAATGCAATATCTATCTATCTATCTATCTATCTTTCTATCTGTCATCAAAATGCAAAAATGTCCATAATGAAAAAGACCCACAATTTTAAATAAAGATAAGATTTGGCAGTGGCTGACCAAGCTGTGTTAGAACCTGAGGCCAAAGAACAAGTGGGTGCCCCCATCCAAGTTTGAATGAAGTTTCAAATGGTTATTTTCCAGGAGTGGGTCTTGAAAGGGTCACCAATGGGCTTCCCTGGCTTCCCCCAGTGTGGAAACCTTGGTCCCCTGTCTTTAACACATACTTTTCTTTTTTCCCCAGGAGTTTTTGCCAAGCCCTCACTCTCAGCCCATCCTGGCCCAGCAGTCTCTCCAGGAGGGGATGTAACCCTACAGTGTCAGACCCAGTACAGCTTTGACCAATTTGCTCTGTACAAGGAAGGGGACACGGGGCCCTACAAGGTACCTGAGAGATGGTACCAGGCTGACTTCCCCATCATCACTGTGACTTCTGCCCACAGTGGGACCTACCGCTGCTACAGCTTTTCTAGTTCATCTCCGTACCTGTGGTCAGCCCCCAGCAACCCTCTGGTGCTGGTAGTCACAGGTAAGAGGGTGCAGACTCAAGCCTTCGTCCTTGGTCTTGGCTGTTCTAAGATAAGTAGCTCTGGGGAGCAGGGGGAGCCTCATGTTCCTATCAGTGTTGGAAGATGTATGAGATTTTCACAGCTGCTATAACAAATGAGCACAAATTCTCTGGCTTACAGCAATACAGATTTATCACTTCACCATTGTGGAGGTCTTGAGTCTGAGATGTGTCTCACTGAGATGAAACAAAGATATCCACATGACTTTATCCTTTCTGGAGGCTCTGAGGATATTTTCTCTTTTGGCTCTTGGCCCCTTCTTTCACCTTCAAAGCCAACAACAGTGCAGTATCTTCCAGTCTTTGTCTCTCTTTTGCCACCCTTTACACTTATAAGGCCTGTGTGATGATGCTGGGATGATCTAGGACCTTGTCTCCTTCTTGGGGTCTTTTAACTTTGTCACGTACGTTTCAGATGTGACAAAGTACCTTTTGCCAGGTACCATTTGCCAGGCAACATATTCAGAGGTTTGGGTGGTCAGCATTCAGACATGTTGAGAGACATTATTCTGTTATCTACAGAGTTAATCACTAACAAAAAATTATTCTGTTTTTTTTTGAGGTCGGGTCCCTACCCTACCTATAGCCCAGGCTGCCCTCAAACTTGCTATGAAGCACAGGCTGGCCTTGAGCTTGCAGTTCTCCAGCCTCAGCCTCCTAAGTACTGGTATTACAGGTGTGCACCACCACACACAGCTGGAAAAAAAACCAATTCCTAATACAGAAAATAATGCCTTGTGTCTGGTCTGGGTTTCAAATAACAAAAACCTTGCAGAAATTACCAAAAATGCCACTATTATAGGAAGTGAATGGTGCAATCATTTTCTTGTATCACAGTCACACATTCAGACTTTCTTATTTTTAATAATTTAAGTGTAAGTTATCATTATGAAAAAGCTCACAGCTAAATCCTTTTCATCGATGGTTGCAATTTAAGAGCCAGTACTGGTGCTCTGTGACCATTGCTTTAGGATTCTTTCTGCTCTTTCACAGCATTTGAAGCCAGCCAACTTATTTAAAATGTCTCAATATAGAGAATACTAATGATCTCATTAGCAACAGGAGAGTTAGTTGTCAGTGAAAATGTGCTTGTGTTCAAACTAACTTTCATTCAGATCTAGTGAGTGAGGTCATTACTAACTAAAAGTTGTCTTCCATGCCTTTTTGGGGAGATGGTACTAGGGTTTGAACTCAGGGCCTCATATTTTCTAGGTTCCTGTTCTACCATTTGAGGCACAATCCCAGCCCTTTTTGCTTTAGTTATTTTTGGGATAGGTCTTGCTTTATGCCCAGGCAGGTCTGGACCATAACCCTCCTATTTATGTTTCCTGAGCAGCTGGGATGACAGGCATGCACCACTATGCCAAGCTATTGGTAGAAATGGGGTCTCATGAACTTTTTCCCTGGGCTAGCCTCAAACTGTAATTCTCCTGATCCTCACCTCCTGGGTAGCAAGGATTACAGATATGAGCTACTGTGTCTGGTACTTCCATTTATTTTTAAGCAGTTTTACTGAAGTGTAATGTATATCCTTTAACATTCACCAATTTTTATGTTATAATGAGGGATATTTATTTTATTGTGTTTCCTCATAAGAAGAAACAAATACATTCATGTGTAAGATAATGTTCAAATTCTAAATTCAGAGTTACACAAAACTATGGCAAAACATAATGACACTAAATCTATTCCTTGATAACAGATATTTTCCAGCACCTAAGAATATAGGTTATCTTTAGCAAGAAACATTCACAAAGAATGCAACTTGTGTCTAGTGTTGAAATACTGTTTAGTTTAGTTGACCCTGCATTGCCCAACCTAGACTTGGTCAGGAATTAATGAGAATTACAGACACTGAGCAAAAAAGAGATCCTTCACCAAGCTAGATGAATGAAAGTTCAACTGTTTTAAAAATATTATTTTTATTTATGATTCATTAATAGTCCAAGGGGGTTGTATGAGAAAAGTTAACACATGCATGTAGTATGTTTTGAGCAAGTTCAACCCTCTGTTATATTCCCTTAGCCCCTCCTCTTCTCAAAACACTATTTGGTGTTTTTTTTATCCTTCCTTCATTTATATATATAAGTAACAGACTTTGATCCTCTTCACTTTTGCACCCTCTCCATTTCCCCTTTCTTTCCCAATGAACACCAACAGTGTCCCTTTGCCACTAAAGTCCCATTTTGTTATTATTATCATCATTTTAGACCTAGATTCCACTTCCCCATTTTTGAGGGATTTTTAGAAGGCTTACGGAGCTGTGCAGTTACCACAATCCAATGTTAGCAGCTTTCTGTCATCCTAGAAAAATATCACGCCATATGTAGTCATTTCCTGGTCCCACCCCAGCCCCAGGCAACCACGAATCTACCTTCTGTTTGTATAAATTTTCCTTTTTTGGACATTGCACATAAATGGAGCCATACATGACATGATATTTTGTGGCTGGTTTCTTTCTTTCACCATCATATTTTCCAGGTGTCTTCCTCTTGTAGGATGTACCAATCTCCTGTTCTCCATTGCTTCTAAGTTTTCAATTATTTCTTGGTAGACAATAACTATGTCCACAGGGTGCAATATGATATTTCCATGTGTGTGTACCTTGAGGAAAGATTACATCAAGTTAGTTGACATATCTATCACCTTCCAGACAATTTTCTTGTAATGAAAACATTTAAACTCCCCTCTTTAGGCAATTTTGAAATATAAAATACATTACTAGTTATTCCACAATTAATGGTGATCACTATTAAAGAGGTTTTCTTTCGAAAAGGATAGCATACTTCATAAAGCAAATATGATCTGTACATAAGAAGGAATCTTATCCAGCCTTCAAAAAGAATGAAATTATGACAGAAGGAATTATAACCACAATTGAAAATAAAACAAAGATGACTTGGGTGTAGCTCAGTGGTAGAGCAAATGCTTAGCTTTTCTACTACAATACTTGAGGAGTGTATATAAATAAATATATATGTACACACATATGTATGTATGTATGTGTATGTGCGCACATATATATTTAGGTATTTTTATTGATATTTAATAATAGCTATATGGGGGTTTATTGTGACTTCTCCATGTATGTGTACAATGTACCTAAGTTTGGTTCATCCCCTCCATTATTCTCCCTCTTCCTCTGCCCCCTTCTTAAAATGATGTAGACAGATTTCAGCATTCCATATTCATATGTATATAGAAAGTACATCAACATATTCGCCCTCCTTTACCCTCTTCATTTACCCTCCCCTCCAACTTTTTCCCTCCCCTGTTTTACATTTCTGTCCTTCATTGCCTAGGTGTCTTTTCATTGTTCAGTGAGGTTTTTGCCTCAGTATTTCCCTGTGAAAATATTGTACCTTAATCAGTCTAACCCCCTTTAGGGAATATGCTGGAACATATAGACATCAGCAATAGCTTCCTAAATACAATGCCAATAGTCAGCAATTAAGAGAAAGGATTGACAAATGGGACTACCTGAAACTGAAAAGCTTTTGCACAGTCATCAGACTGAAGAGACAGCCCACAGAATGGGAGAGAAATCTTTGCCAGCTATACATCTGGCAAGGGATTAACAACCAGAATTTCCAGGGAACTCCAAAAACTAAACTCCCAGAGAGTGTAAAACAAAACAAAACAAAACAACATCATGGGCTCCCTTCCAATCCCACTCACCCTGTTATAACTCAGAGCTTACCCAAAGTCCAGCAAGCCCTCCTCAGGCTCTGTGCTCCATTCTCCACCATCAGCCACTGGATTTCCATCTGCCTCCACCTGGTCTTTCTTTTATCCCTTCCAACTATTCTCAGCACAACCTCAGGAAGAATTCTTTCAAACAGGCTATGCAAGCTGATGGAGCTGATGACTTATACTTACACTCAAAGCTGGCCAGCAGCTCCCAATTTGCTCATCTCCAAAACCCCATTTCTGATCACCTGTCTGACTAGCTCCCCCGCCCCATATGCTCTGCTCTACACACACTGGCCATCTGACTTTTTTTAAAAATCAGGTTATTGTCATAATGGATTATTCTGTATGTGTTATGTTTACAAGAGACATTTCTTTCTTTTTATGGCCTTACTGAGGTGTAAGTGAGAAAACAGACTGTATATAAAGTAGACAAATTTGGTAAGTTTTCATATATGCATACACCCATGAAATCATAATAATTAAGGTAACGAATATATTCACCATCCTCCCAAATTCTCCTCATTTCTTCCACTAATTTGGCTGATTTCCTATCCTCAGAAACCGCTGGTATTTCTGTTATGATATTCTACAAAGTATGTTTTATTTATTTATTTTTCTTTTATTTATATGTGCATACAATGTTTGGGTCACTTCTCTTCCCTTCCCCCTGCCCCCTCCCTTATCTCCCCTCCCCCTCCCTCTCCCCTCCACCCCCTCAATACCCAGCAAAAACTATTTTGCCCTTATCTCTAATTTTGTTGAAGAGAGAGTATAAGCAATAATAGGAAGGAACAAGGGTTTTTGC